ACTGAGTGCGAGAAGAGCTTCAACTGCCAGTCGGAACTGCTGCGCCACCAGATGATCCACCGCGGGGAGAAGCCCTACAAGTGCAGCGAGTGCGAGAAGAGCTACAGCCGCAAGGTGTATCTGCTGAATCACCAGCGTGTGCACACGGGGGAGCGGCCCTTCCAGTGCCCAGTGTGTGAGAAGAGCTTCCGGCAGAAGGCCGTGCTCATCTCGCACCAGCGCCTGCACACCGGCGAGCGGCCCTTCCAATGCACTAAGTGCAGCAAGAGCTTCATGCTGAAGACGAGCTTCATTAAGCACCAAAGAAACCATGTTGACGAGAGACACCCAAGGGGAGACCCAGCTACTAACTGCCCTGTTGGCCATCAGGGTAAAGACTCGGGACAAGGGCTGCAGTGTTGCATGGAGGGTGGGGAAAGCTTTAGGGGGAAGCATAAGCTGGAAACACACCAACAGGTCTATGCCGGGGAAGGGCCGCATCCGTGTGGCACATGTGGGAAAAGCTTCCGGTACAAGGAATCCCTGAAAGAACATCAGAGTCTGCACAGCGCAGAGCAAAGGCAGCTGGCGGTTTCTCAGTGCCCTGCACAGGGAGCAGAAGTTGGGCTCCTGGTTGTAAAGATGGAAGATACGTGGTAGCCAGAGGAGTTTCCACACTAGTCAGTCGGAAGGGAAGGCAGAAGGAGGAGTTGACAGGTCCCTGGTTTAGAGAGAGCTTCAGATTCTGTGACTGGTCCTTGCAGGAAAGGTGGAAACCCCGCCCGTGGGCTTCCTTCTGTCCCCAGACTTGAAAGGGGAAGCCGGGGCACTAGCAGGAGGGGGAGGGGTGTTCTCCCTGGAGTGAAAATGCAGCAGTGGTGCCATGGAGACAGGCAGAGGGGAATCAGCCTCTGCTTGGGAAAAATCTGGAGTGAAAATGCTGTCAAGTGGCACCAGGAAAGGAGGAACAAGGAGGACATGAACGACTGGGAGCAGGAGAGGGACTGGTGCTCTGCATGGAAGGCCTGTCTCTGGGCCTCACTGGTCAATACAGAATTGCACTTGCCTGGGATATAAGCTCACATCACAAGTTCGACTCCTAGGCCCACGGCCAACGATAATAGGAAGTCTGGTCTGCTCTTGTTACTAAGGTAGCCCTCGCTTTCGCCTTCGCTCCCCTGGAGAACGTGTGAATTCTCCAGTGACTCCAGCCGTGGAGGGACTTTCGAGTAAAATAAAGAGGGGAGATAATGAGAGAGACCCTGAAAAAATGGCAGACACATAAGATGGTAGTAGGTAGGGGTGAGGGAACAATTTGTGTAGTGGGGTGCTGAGAGCCTTTGAACCAAACTGTTAACTTTGTATGTGATGGAACCACCTCAAGTCAGGGGTACAGTAGCATCCCTAATTCCAGCATCTGTTAATATGTCATTCCCGGAGACCTCATGCGGGAACTACAGTGGAGAATTACATGGGGTGCACATGGGGTACTTCTGCTGTTTCTTATCATGTAACATATACTGATCTGACTGTGACTCTTAAAATCTTAAGGTAACACTGTCATTTTTAACTCCGAGTCAGAAGGCAGGTCCACCATCACCATCACCCCCACCATCACTTCAGCCATTTCAGGGTTTCTTCCTTAATCTTTTATTTTGATGAACATATTGCAATTAGCTTTGTCTGTGTTAATCAAGGGTTAGCAGAGTCTCTTGAATGAGCCTAGCAATAGGAACACACACTATATTATATTGCAGTGAGCTTGCTGTTATCTGCTACAACGTTCAGGCTATTCTAAGTATCATCAATAAGCTAATAAATTATACATACATAGATATAGAAATGGAATTCAGACACAATTTTCACCTTTAAAACAATAAAATCTTGCTTAAAGCACATATAAAATCCTTTCATTCCTGTTACAGTAGTCATCAAATCTTTCTATACTTTGCTTAAATTTAACTATTAACACTTTTATTTAAAAATAGAAGAAAACCTTGTTTTACATTACTGAAAATCTGTTGACAAACTGCAGTCGTTATATAACACATGGAAGGTTATGATTATGAGGTGGGGTTTTTTTAAATGAATTTTTTTAAACTACTTGAGCACTGATTTTAGAACTTTGAAACATCTCATTCATGTTATTTGTGTCAAGATGATTACTGCTTTTCAAGAAACATTTAATGGAAATGCTGCATACAGCCCTGAGAGCAAACTGATACAACAGTTTTACTCCTGGGGAAAATCTGCATCATTGTACATATGCAGAATTCATGGTCCCTGCAGATTTTGTTTCCCTGCAGAAAAATGACTTCTGACGTGGAAGGAAAGGGAAGTTGCGAGAGCAGTTGTTCCCCTTCCTTGGCAATGCAAGTAGATTGGTTTAGGCACCCAGATCCGCCAGTAGAGATGTGAATCACCACTGAGGCAGGGGGACTGAGCAGTCATGCAGGTGTGAGAGAGAGACCACATCCCTTTCATTCACTATTGAGGCACACTTGGGGTATGTCTAGACTACAAGCCTCTTTCGAAAGAGGCTTTTTCAAAAGATACTTTTGGAAAAGCCTCTTTCGAAAAAGAGCGTCTAGACTACAACCAGTACTTTCAAAAAAGCACAGTTTGCATTACATAGCGCCTTTTTTCGAAAGAGCACTTTTGAAAAAAAGGTGTTATTCCTTGTAAAATGAGGCTTTCCACGGTCGAAAAAATTGCCGCGTTCTTTCGATTTACTTTCAGAAGAAGGCAGCAGCAGTCTAGACGCAGGGGAAGTTTTTTCGAAAAAAGACCACTTTTTTAAAAAAAAACCCTGTAGTCTAGACACACCCTTGGTGTGGCAGAGTGAGGCTTTGCGGTTTTTTTGACATGCCTGCTTAGTGAATTGTTCCATTTGTTTTCCCACAAATTACAAGTCTGATTTTTTTTTCTCACCCAATTCTGCCCACAACAAAGTGTGTTTCACCCTCCTCCCTCTATTATGGCAATGGGTTGTGTGGGATCCCAGTCCGTCTCTAGGGCTCTCCTTCCTGCTCACTAATTTTTCATATGTTTCACTATTTAGGAAGCAGAACCCTCCCTCCCCCTCTCTCCCTCAAGAACCCATTAACTCTTGCGTTCTTGTCTCGAGTAGTGGGATATTGGGTGCTTTTTCAAACCCTATCTCCTAAAGGCAGTTGATTTCATCTTCAAAAGCCACATTTCTATCCCTCGTGGAGAGAAGCTTGCAAATGAGCAAACAGAAAGTCAAATTTCAGAACTTGAAGAAGAACCCAACTTTTACTATTTTTTAAAATCATGATTTTCAGGGGCCTTCTCATTTTTGCACATGGAGGGTTGGCGTGCTGCAAGTATTCCTTTTGCATGGCTCCATCAGTTGATTTCATCTTCAAAAGCCACATTTCTATCCCTCGTGGAGAGAAGCTTGCAAATGAGCAAACAGAAAGTCAAATTTCAGAACTTGAAGAAGAACCCAACTTTTACTATTTTTTAAAATCATGATTTTCAGGGGCCTTCTCATTTTTGCACATGGAGGGTTGGCGTGCTGCAAGTATTCCTTTTGCATGGCTCCATCACGTGAGGAGTAATTTTGGATTTACACCCGTCTGAGTGAAAGCAGACTTAGGGCCTATATTTTCCTCAGAGCATGTCCGCCGTCCCTCACCACACCCCTCCCTGCATTAAGCCTTCTCATAACACTCACTGCCTCCTGTTAGGCTTACTCTATGCTCTGTGTCATAGTTTTTTACACAGATCTCTGCTACTTTGCGTTTTTTTTTTAACGGATTTTAGTCATAAGCACTAAAGACAAAGTTTAAAAATTTGAGCGTGTGGTGCCTCATTTACTTGAGCGATACAGTTAATAAACAAACACCCCATCAGTAATGTAATAGGAGCATAACATAAGAATGGGCAGAGGACAGGCAGAGGGGAACCAGCCTCTGCTTGGGAAAAATCCAGAGTGAAAATGCCATCAGGTGGCACCATGAAAGGAGGAACGAGGAGGACATGAACGACTGGGAGCAGGAGAGGGACTGGTTATTTTAGATTTTTTAAACCCCCCTCCCTAAGTTACTGACTGTATGAGATCAAGCAAATGTCGTTGCATTAAAAATCTCTTCAGCCCCTTTTCTTATCACCCCACCTCTGCTTCCCCGCCTACCCCCCGGTTTTACCTCAGCCCAGGAGTCCAAGGACCACTATGAGCTTTGCTCTGTTTCCAGACCCAGATTCCTGGGACTCGGTGGACTCAATGCTTTGTCCATGGGCCCTAGAATAGGGACAAGTGCCCGTCCCTGCCTGCATTTGCTTGGGCCCCAGCTCTCTGGCTGGCGGCAGCCCTATGGTCTGAGGACATGGGGATGGGAGGGGCAGAGCTCGGTCTCCCCCCTGTAACCGTGGCTCCCCCACCAGCAGTGATGCCTGGACTCTGCCCAGCCCACGGCGGGGTCGGAGTTTGGGCCACTGGAGAAGCCCCACCTGGAGGGGCCAAGACGTACAGGCCCAGTGAGGGCTGCCCACGCGGGGAGCAGGGACCGGGGCTGTGCTGCTGCCTCAGGGTGGGTGGGTGTGTTGGCGGGGGGGAGCCCTCTCTCCCCTGCTTTGCTAACTGGGACTGCGCCTCCCCCCCCCCAACTTGAGCTTGGCGTCTGGTCCTGACTTCCTCACACCCCCCACCTGTACAGCCCCTCGCCTCTTCTGAGGGGGCCCCTGAGAGAAACCCCAGCTGCTAGGTGCAGATTTCCCTGACTGTTCTGGCTGCTGTGAAGAGGAAGGTGGATTCTCATGCCTGGTGGTTACTGAGTCTAGAGGGGAGAACTGGGAGATCCAAGGAGAAACTAGCTGGCTGTGAGAGGACAACGGTGGAGTTTGGGAGCCAGCTGGGCTGTTCGGGTTCGGGCCAGTGGGTCTCGGTGGCACTGGTACAGCTCTCAGCCCAAGCTGTTGTATTTGCTATGTTTAGTTGTTGGGGGGGGGGGGGGGGGGGGGGGTTCCTTTTGA